TAATTGGAATACGAGGAATAATATTTTGTACTTCATGTTGAATTGTTTATTCTGTATATTTAAATTTATAATTGAAATTAAAAAACTGAAAGAAATAAAATTAAATTCACATCATTTCACGACAATTCAGTGTTTGTATCTGTGCAAATACCTTTCCTCGTTTACATTAAATTTCGCAATTTGTATTACAGAACTTATGTTAATTAATCACAACATTAAATTGTATTCGACCAAATCAGAAGTCTATCAATTTTTACTACATACACAAAACGAAATGCTCTAAGTAAGTGATTTTTGTCATGAAAGACGTCCAAAGTATTAGGGTACAAAACTTATCAGGGGTAAAGAATATCGTAATGACCAGGACGATACAGTAAATGAACTGAGGGAGTGGCACCTTCTGGAAAATCATGTGCAGTCACTTCGGTCCCTGCACCTCGATCCATGTACCGAACTCTAACTCCTGTTCCTAGAGCAGTACTCATCGCGATAATGTGAATATGATCGGATTCTTTATACATTGGCTCAACTTCCTGTAAAATTATAAAAATTTTACGATGCACAAAATACTTAGTCTCATTCTAATTAAATAGCGCTCATATTTACTTGATGACAGAATTCTGAAATAGTGCGTTCTCCCTCAATAAAATGCTGATAAAAGTCAGCTTCACGTTGCAATTGACCAGATGTAATTAATCTAAGATATACAACAATGTAATCAGAATAACCTTGTTCGTTAAAAAGTTTATGCAGCTCAATGTAACTTGACTCTGCATCACCTCCTACTTTATCGATCACTTCCATAAACTGTGAAAAATATTAAACATAACAATGAAAAACGAACTGTAACATTTTATAGTACTATAAAGAGTTCTATGTACTTACTGTGTCATGAAAGTCTTCAACCGTAAATCGAGGAAAACCTAATGCTACTAAACAGTCTTTACTTTTCAATGCAAGTTCCCGAAATTTTTCATATTCTTCCTTATTTCCAATTAGCTTCTCAAGATAAGCATAACTAAAGGCTCTAAAAAAACAGTTCCCATCTGGCCTAGTTCTTCTAATATAAGAATATTTCTGTCCCAGTACTTTAGCTTTCGAAAGGTATACACCATCTTCCGGATATTCACGTTCCAAGCTTTTTATAGACTCTTTTTCTCCAACTAAAGCAATGGATTCGGAAATCTGGAGAAATTTAAACGTTAGATTACAATAACAAGAATAACACCAGAGTTTATCAAATCATCTCCTCCCAAGAAAATATTCTAAATACATAAGCCAGAGAACGATTTACGACGTAACGAAACGCAAAAATTATTCGCAAATAACGCAGCAAGGTGAAATGTGTAATGAACAAGAATACATAAGACAGAGGAGATAAACATCAATGACAATGATCGAAAGCAACGAGTTACGACTCGTGATTTACGAACAAGAAATGATCGATAACTGACAAGAGAATTCACGACACACGGGTTTCGTAAGTGACAGAAAATAAATATTAACCTCCTTCTCGATTCGTCTTTGTTGCTGAAGGATCAACTCATCTTGGTTGACGTCTGTAATAAAAACGAGTATCATAAATTATATGTCCGCGGCTCGAAACCGTAGTATACGTTTAAGAACCTGTATTTTCCGTTAACTGTCCTTTCAAAGGTTTCTCTTCCATATTTCAGGAGATTTTCATAAATTTTGAAACGACTGTCAAATTACCAGTCGTAAATAAAAGCCCGACGTCCATGTGGAAATTGAAAAGACATTTGCCGTCGTATTTGAACAATTTAGATTGGCGACTGTATTTCCTAAACTGGATAGACACACAGTCATAGAGTACATAAAGACGAAACTCTGGCGCGTTTTCAAAGGTACAACGTCTGTACCACGGTGTACGACTGTGCATATGTGTGTGTACATATGTATGTATAGAAAACTTAAATTTGTCCATCCATCCGATCGACCTTAGGATTGCGATCTGGAAACAAAACTAAGAGCGAGATGTCTAATACAGAATTGAATACAAAATTGAAATGGATACAAATGAACAATCTGTTAAATAAGTGGCGCAATGAAATTAATGTTTCGAGCAATTTTTGGCTTGTGAAATTGCGTGTCATATGATACAGAAAAACAAGAGTAAAAATTGTCCATAAGGATCGTATCTCGAACGCCGGAGATCGAAACAGGTTAAAACACTATTTTGACCGGCAGTAAACATTTGTCATCCATCTGAACCGATTTGAACATGGCTAATTTTGAAAATGACGACGATGAATTGAATGAAAATAATGTCAGTGCCGCAGGAGAGAATTCTCAAGACTCTCAGGATGAAATCGAGAATAATAATCGCATGGATGAAGAGCAAAAAGAGAAGTTGGTAAAGTTGCCGTTAGGAAGGATAAAAAGCATAATAAAAATGGACCCTGATGTACACATGATCAATCAGGAAGCTGTGTTTCTGATTGCGAAGTCAACGGTACTCGCAGAATAATTGCAACATATTTTTGAAATCGCTCGATTTATTCTACGTTCATTTTTCTAATATCAATTCCCTTTTTATTTCAGGAACTTTTTATCGATTCACTCGCCAAAGAATCCTATAAATACACAGCACAAATGAAGAAAAAGACGATACAGAAACGAGATATAGAGAGTGCAATAAACAATGTTGATGCACTCGTATTTTTGGAGGGAACACTGAATTGATGTTCAATTGTCAAATGAAATGTAAGATAATAATAATGTTTAGGAACGCTTTATAATCTCTATTTTTGTATGAAAACAAGAACTTAAAATACTGTAAAATATCGTAAACAATTCTCGTATATATGTATATGTATGTGTATATATATACGTATATATAGTTACTTTGGTAATGTTTATTCACTTCAAATTTACATAACCGAATCACGTGTTTAACATTACAGTACATTTCATTTGATTAAGTAAAAATAAGCATCGAATTTCATTAGAATTTTGCTGTATTAATTCACTCTCAGAACTTCGTAAAATAAAAATACAAAGTGTGCATGAAAATTACATAAAGGTGCTTTATTACGACTTTCAAGCTCGAAAAAACATAGTTGTTATATTCTTTTTTTCTTGGTAATGAAGACAACAGTATTGGCTGAAAATATTTTGCTATTCTTATACGAAAATTTATAAGCTGTTCATTTAATAATGTGTACCTTCGTTATAAAACTCGCCGAATACACATTTATATAATTTCATCTGCACATACAAAGAATTGTACATCTTTTGTTATTATACAAATAAAATATATAAGTAAACTTTTGTATAACACATTCATACATTTTTACAGAGACTTTACTTACTTTCGTTAATTGTATTAGTTTGCAGTGTACCTTGTATGATGCAGAATGAAATTTGTACATTACAATTACACTGTCCAACACTAATTTTGAGTTTCATTAAACAATAGGTGATTTTTAAAAATTTCGGCAACCTTTCTGCTTTTGTTCGAAAACGAAATGAAATCTGCCTTATATATATTGTTATAATATATTATCATGTAAGAGAATCTACTCTAATTGTTAAAAGATAAATTTGTTGATAAATAAGCTTGCTTGAGATCGAAACATAAAATTATTGTTGGACAATGTTATCTGCAAGGTGAGATTTAAACAGTAGTTACAGCATTCGCATGCAATTTGAGAGAATAAATTCACCGATTTCCTTGATTCACATGCCAGAGAACACAAAATAGAGTATTTGGAACATGTCTATCTAGTATACAACTTATTCATAACACAGAAAGATAAAAATCAGTCTTACTTTATATATAACGCCAATTATTTAACTTTTAATAGGCTACCAATTACAAATGTTCAGAGATCACGGCTCACAGTAAACAATGACGATGCGAGAACGTATATAATATTAGCGAAGGCGGACTATCGTTTGTATATCATTATTCATATATACATCAATTACACATGGAGAAGCTACTATTTCGACTGCAATTGAAATAATTCAGTTGCGATTGAAAGTTCAAAGCATAACATTATAAAAATCCACATAATAAAATAATAAAAAGGTTCTGCATGTTCGTATCCTACAAGTAGAATCGAGTTTATGATATACAAGTCCTAAATTTCTTTCATTGCTTTTCAGTTTCATCGAAATTAGAGTAAATTCATTATTATAGCTTCGGTTTGCACATTATGTTCAAATACTACCGTAATATTAATAATGAGTATTATATTTAGGATAAATTAAAGGGCCATTTATGCATCAACAAGTGTTGTAATTAATTACACTGTGCAACACACAATATTACGTTTTGATAAGCAGTAGACAATGCTTATAGATTTTGATGAAATACCATAAAAATCTATAAAAGTCGTCTACTGGTTATTTAAACACAAAAACAAGATGAAAATTTGTTGGACAGCATTATTAATTTCTCGGTACCTTCCTTCCTCGATTTGGAAATTCTATACAGAATTTTCCTAACCCTCAAGTCCAAAATTAATCTTTCGAAATTGTATTTTAAAATAAACTTCAATTTTAACAAATTCAATCCTTCTTAAAACTGTTTCTAATACAATTCGTACATTGTGCTAGAGTCACTGAATATCGTCAACATTTGTTTTCGAAAATACGAAAGTTCATCAGAGAAGTATGTATATTACCGTGTAATCATACACAAAGGATACTAAAAGATTAAGCAGCAGGTTGCCGTACATTTCACTTCTTACGTTTAGTTTTACGTCGCTTACAATCTCTAAAGGAGTTTTGGTCTCCTGGTGCGCTTGAAGTTCCCGATTTACTGTGATTGTACAAATTATTTAAAAAATCTTCAAAATCCGCTTCACTGTTAAAAACAGAAGAATTTGAGTAAGATTCGTGAACCTCCTTCGAGTAGTTTAATCAAAGTTTCAAGCCATACCTCGTGTTTGGGTCTATTTGCTGTCGCTTTTTGCCGCAATTAGTCGTTTGTGATGGTGATCGCTGACCCAAAACGATTCTATACTGGATGCTATGCGTGTTCGCTCTGAGATGTTTCAAATTACCAGCCTGACAGGCTGCCCAGTCAGTGACATCATACACAGCTCCTTCCATACAGGCGTAATAATGCCACAGAAAACCCATGAGACGAGACTCTGCCCAAATATCTCCCTGTTCAAAGTTTAGATAATACGTTTATTATGCAAATCAACATTTTGAAATAATTATTGCTAACATTTACCTCTTTCGCACTATGACGTATTTTACACTGAGCACAAAACCTTGCCGCGTAACAGGGACGCTGAGTAGGAATCCTTTTATGCCTCAGGCCACAGTTTGTGCACCTAATAGTGTTCGCTGCCTGTTCCATCTTTCTGTGCAGCTGAGAGATCAGATCGCTGAGTTCACCCCATGCTGCTTCTACCTGTCTGGTTTGATCAAAAGCTTGTCTGCGTCCCTGCAATATGAACAAATTTATACAATTATATTACGAACTTTTATAGTTTCAATCTGCAACAGATGTGGAAGATTACCGGTTCACCAATTATGTCGAAAGCGTGAACAAGTATCTTGAACGCTTCTTCTGCACCTGGTTGATTGTTCTTGTCAGGATGAACCAAGAAAGCCTGTCGCTTGTAATATTTCTTAATGTCATCGTCTGAACACGTTGGCGTGACACCAAGTATACTGTAAGGATCCTTCCCTTTGCAAGCTAGTAATCTTTTCATGGCTTCTTCGCCAGTGCTGGGTAGTGCAATATTAGTTTCAAGGCCGCCTCGTATCCAGTTACTGTTTTCTTCTTTCTCTTCACTTTTTGCTCTTATCTTGCGCCAGAATGCAAACTTGCTATTTCCGAACCAGTTATCTAACTGTCTACCAACAGCATTTAAAATACGAAACTTAGAGAACGTCATGGCTAAGTAAACCCATAAGTATTTTAAATAGAGTATAGTGTGATACCACCCACATTTACCACTGAAACAAAGAAAAACATATATGTGAACACGTTCTTCATAATAAAATATACCTTCTTGTTGTGAATTACTTACAGCTGAACAATAAGATTGGCACTCATGCTAACTACGTCAGACACTAAGTGTAACAACCAATGAAATATTTTTAATCCAATTTTACACCAACGACTGGCATATTTATTTAAATTTTTACATAGATCTTTCACCGGAGATTCTCTGTTCTCTCTTCTACGGTTTCTTTGTGCCTTTTTAATTTGCTGTGCTTTCTCAGCCTGAAAACGCTTAGAATTTTTTTCTTTCACAATCTTTTTCTCCTCTTTACAGGTCTTATTTGTGACCTGTTGGTTTTTCTCTATCTTCTCAAGGGAAACAGTTTGACTGGATGTATTTATCGTGTTCAAATTATTGTTTATTTGTATGGGCCGTTTCGGAATATTTCCGATTAATTTAGAATTGCTGTTTTGAATTTTCGAATTGTTAAGCGTTTCTCCTTTCTCAGTTTTCTTCAGTGTCTTGGACACTTTTTTCTTTTCAAATTGATTAGATTTATCAAAGGTATTTAGTTCATGAGATTCAGTTTGGAGACCAAGATTGTCCAACGATACCCAACGTCTTGGAAGATTTGAGTTATTCTTCTCCAAAATTTTCCGTGGTGCCTGTAGCTTTGGAGAATTATGTTCATCACTTCCAGATGAATTCTGCCTCTTTAGCACTGCAGATTTCGATTTGTTCTTCGAATTTTTGTTGGAAATTTTCTTGTTAACAGATTCAGATTTTGGTTTCATCGATGGAACTGTTAACGGAGATGGTGGAGTTGGAGCAGACTTTGTCAGAACATCTGAATAAGTTGGTCGCATTGGTTTTACCTCTGCTATTGCTCGAGGTTTCTTGTGTTGAGATTCTGTAGAACTTCGAGGGAGTTCCTCTGGATCTCTGACATCGCAAGATGATTGTGGTATTGGTGTCACATTTGGAGAGCTACCAAAAGGGCTGTACGTGCCAGACTGATTTGGTACCCAGTTACCAACCAAATTATCGATCAACTGTTTCCCATTGAAGTTCTGTGTTCGCATATCAGATTGTGCCGTAATGTGTCTATCATTAAAAAGACCATACTCTCTATCAATTATATTCTGTGTCCTATACGATGTTATATTTGAAAGCTGACACTGCTCCGCCATAATTTGAGAAGCATTTCCATATATCACATTAATGTAATTACCTCCACCAACATCAATTGTGCCTATCAGGTCATTGTTCTCATTTATACCTAAATGATTTACAGTTTGCGATGGAAAATAAATAGAATCTGTAGTAGAATCATAATTTGATATATCCTGCATATAGAGAGGAGCATTCATTGGTGGTATCGACTGCATTGGAGGAGAATTAGCACGTGGTGGCTGATTAGTAATATAGTGCCTTGCCTGGCCCGAAGAGTAGTCAGTCCAATTATGAGACGCAGCTTGTTGCGAGTTTATACCAAACTGGAGGTAGTGACCATTGGAATTCTCTAAATCAGTGGTCATGGTCTCAATGATTTTGTCTAGAGACATACGCTTAAAGCCTGGAGGCGATTGTTGCTGCTCCGCCATGTTGCAATGTCTAAAAGAAAATTATATTTATCTATAAGACATGTTTGCATGTATACTACAGTTGGATTGTAAAATAAGAGATAGTATTTTGGAAAGAAATTACATCCTATAAAAAGCATAAGAACCTTTTATGAAATTTTCGTTATTCTTTTTGAATAAGTGTAGAAATGTTGATATTGTTGTTATATGGGACATAAAAACAATGCAAGAATCATTTGAACGCTGATGAAACAATTTCAAGGATTGATTTTATGTGGTTTAATAACCTAAAACAAATATTTCCCTATGAGAGTGTAGCAGGTGTAACGATGTAATACTCACTTTCATCGGCAAGTATCTAACGTTCACTACTCGATTACATTGTAGTCGAAACACACAGATTCTAAACGGGTTCGACGATAAATACTATATTTCTGAAATATGTGCAATTTGAAATTATATACCATGCGGTTTATAGAATATCAGTAACTGTATTTGTCGTGATCCGCACTACCATCGGATTCATAAACGGATCACATAAATAGTTTTCTTTCTGTACACATGCGTCTGTATATACCCAAACAGACGTGTGCGTGCGTGCGCTGCACACTGTTGAAAAAAGTTACTAGATAAATGAAGATTCAATTATCAAACCGTTATGATTTTGAATTAATTATTAATTTTAAATTCATTTCATAAACTGAAATTTGATTTGCTTTATTACAATAATTGAGCACACGCACACATTATTGCAAAAAGTTACTAGACAAAAGTGTCTAATTACTGAACCGTTATGCTTACGACTAAATTATAAAGTTCAAATCATTTTCGTTTAAAGAGTTGAAATTTAACTTGTCTTTTTTTTTTAACATACTAACCTGCTAGTTTCGAAATATGTAAATTTAACTTTACTTTTGTAACTAGAATAGCTGGAATGTATTTGGCACTACTGTTTCATGGTTACCCGTAAATTCAAATTTGAAATGCTTTTTTCTACTTTTCGATTAGTTCGAATTTATTTAATCTTTCTTATGGTACAAAACGAATATGTAATTTATATTAATAGAGTAATCATACAATCATTTTATTTGGATATCAGCAATTAATATACATAAGAGTAAATAAAAGAATTATTAGCGATACAAAATTAGAACTTATTGTACTTGATACATTGCAAGGTTCCAACCCGTTTCCTGTTTCACAAGCACAGACTTCAATTAAAGAACCATTTTGCTATAAAAGAAAATATAGAAATGACTTACATTAAATTTAATAAAAAATGACTTGCTTGCATTTTCTCTTGACTTACATTATGTTGATAACATCCTGGTTCTGAACTTGCTAACCCATCTACTACAAGCTTACCACAATATAAAGATGCCTTTTCAACTATAATCAAATTTGATTTATTAGGATCTTTCAATTTCTTCTTCCACACTCATACACAGACACACAGCTTGATATACTTACTCTTATTATCGACCTTTAGAATATATCTTATACAAACGAAACCAACTGATAAACGACACAAAGTCGAATCATCTTCATCACGATTTAACCAGATTTCAGTCGTGTTTGGAAAGTTATCTAAAATTTGTTAAATCTGAATTAACTTTCGCTAATGTTCACAAAATTTTCAGCTATGAGAATATTCACATAAAATATTTATATAATATTTCATAAAAGTTATGAACATTATACAACATTATTAATTTTAATTACGATTACCTTGAATAAATGGTGGTTCAATACATGGAATGATGTCATGCTGTCCCGTACAATTATACCTCGCTGGTGTATTGTTGAAAATTGGTGGTACCCATCTAAATTGAAAACAATATGGCATTTTGTCGTCAAAAGCTGCAAATAAATTATATTAATGTTAATATTCAATTATAAAAAATGTTAATATTTTGATATAGAACTTGAATCATATAATTACCCCATATTGGAAACACATTATAAGCAATAACAATCAAAAGAATACTCAAATTAATTGTCTCCATTTTGACATGCATACTTCGTTGCACTGTGAATAATATAGTACTGATATCTAAGCAATGTTCTAGACATGATATCTAATCTGATAAAACTTGTCACTTATTTTCTAATACACCTGCACCATAGGATAACATATAACTATGACTTACTATACGCACGGGAAGTCAAATTATTTATTTAATAAAAAGCGAATTATATTTAAAATATCTGGGATTTATTAAAATGACTAAGATATATGTACATGTTTCGAAGATAGAGAGTGAAATAGCAGTAATGTCATGAGGTAAGTAAAAATCAGCCATTATAAAAAGATTCTTATCCTACTGATAAAGAAGTATATGCTTTATAAATGCTTGACACATTCTTCTTGTGTATTAACAGTGTTTTGTCCTTTGTTGAAAAAATATTATATGAAATTTTTTGCTTTGTATTAAAACTCATCATGCCTGGCTAATGCTTGTCCAAAGTCAGTTGCCTGAGAGCCAAAAAAGATGTCGTATTTTTCTAATATTTCTTCTTTTGTCAGCTTTTGATCTGCATCTGTATCAGCTTCGAATATCAAATGACGAGATTCAGCCTCTGCATGATCAAAATCTGCTGGAATGATCCATGTTTTCACCTAAGAAGAGATTAAAAAGTTATTAAACTTCCCGGAAGTATCTTCAATTCATATAAAAAGATGAGCAACCTCTTCGGAGTCCAGGAAACCATCACCATTCTTGTCACGGTACATAGAGAACTGTTCCTTCTCATTTTTCACCCACTCTGGTTCCTCTTCACCTTCTGCACCATCATACATGTCACCTATAATAAAGATATTATTTGTTACAGGTAATAGGTAAAATTTTAAAACACGGAATACATACCAATATATTCTGAAATAGATATTTTGCCATCCCCATCTTTATCAATATCTTCTATGGTTTCTAACACTATAACATCTTTCGTGTGATTGGCTTGGTCTGCATGGAGGAAAGCAGTAAACTCTTCCTTCGTGAGAGCATCATCTCCATCAACATCTGCACTTGTCCACCGTCTGCGTTCTTTCTTAAGCATTGCTGCATAAGAGAAGGAATTGTCGTTGGATTTTTCATCTTTTTCTGCTTCATGCTCATCTATGTCCCCATAAACCATTGCCATGTATTCTGTCCAGGGGAGTTTTTCCTTTCCCTTTGGATTGTGGGATTTCCATTGTCTCTCAACGTCATCTCGTATGTAGCGCTGTTGCGTGTACAATATCCAATCCTTTAGTTCCTCTCCATTGACATAACCATCTTTGTCCTTGTCCATTTTATCAACAATAATACCCAGTCTTCTCATGCTCTCTTCAGGCGTAAGTTGATTCTTTGCTTCTTCGCCAAGGAAAGTCTCATGATCATAGGCTGGATTATGTTGGGAATTGATATAGTGCTCCTCTTCATGCGGCTCCTAATACAATACAATATTTTTTTTTTAGAGGGATTGTCACATAAAAAAAGGATATTCATAAGCTTCTTTCCTTTCCTTTCCTTTTCCATTTGAGACAATGTGATCACCGAGAATTCTATTAATATCTTTCCGGTACGCGAGGCAATTAATAGAACGAGACGAATGTATTGTTTATGTTCTTCGAATGATCAATCGTACCGCTCGGACGAGGTTATGTATAAAACAATTTTTGCGTAATATTATTTTAAATAATTTCGAGCGGGTAAAATCGAAACACTGACCTTGTTGATGACCCGGGATTTGTGTTCGTTCTCGGGCTTCGGGATCGCCGTCGCCAGCACGGAGAAACCAATCAAAAGCTGCAGAAGCATGATTCTTCTCATAACTTGCACGAAATAACAGGAAGAAAGGTTACCGTAAACCGGTGCACGAGAAGACCGCTGGAAAAAGCGTCAACGACAACGGGAATTTTTAGACTCTCCTCTTTCGCTTAGTCGGCTTCCACATCAGCAGAGCTAAATGTCTTTCTCGACGCTACACCCCCACTTCTACATAATCATTTCAGAAGCCATTTCTGACGGTGATGCGGGAACGAAGGCGTACCATATCGCGAACATCATGACCGGGTTACGTCCGTGGGATGCTGCTGGACCGACGATATCAAATTAGCCTTGTATTGGTCCATGCAATAAAAAAAGATTCCGTGGAACAACGAACCTGAGGAAGAGATGTTCTTAATTAATCTATTTGAAATATAAATTCAATTCTTCCAATGTATTTTGAAAATTACGAGCTTCGTTTCTCATTGACAAAACAAGATTATTCGCTTAATTCAGAATCAGATACAGAGCTCGCAGACGCAACGCGCGCGATTGATTGGTTATCGCGGTTAATTGAGTCAACAGTGTCTAGCCAGATCGCGCATACGGAATCTGTATACATCCGGTGCCTGAAATCTATTTTTAGATGCTACATTTAGGAAGATACTTAAATTTCCTGTAGACGATTTCGGAGAAGAAGCTTCTGGAAGAATAATCCTTGCCATCGAGAAGATGTCTTTCACTGCAACAAATCACAGGCGCGCAATTACGGTTATGTAATTTATGAAAAAGTTATGGATTTATCAAAATAGATAAATCTGTCTAAGCGAACGTCGCGACAATGATAAGTTGATGGCGATAATTATTAGAAACGTGATACAAGCAGTATGCAATTGTTGATGCTGCAGAATGAATTTTCAGGGATGAAGAAGAAGAAGAAGAAGAAGAAGACCGCGAGATTGTTTCACGGTGATTGTTTCTTCAATGACAAGTTTACGTGCAGTTAATGATTCACCTGCCACAATTATATTTTATCTAGGACGCGCTTATCCACTTATCTTATATTTGCCGATGATAAAGAGTGCTAGGTGGTTGTTTCAGGTACCTGTCGGCGGACACGGCCATAATCACGGTGTCCACGTTTTAATAGTATCTCGTACAGTGACTCGCGAAGAAAACGAAAAGGCTTTTGTGAAGCTCGATATTTGTGAATACAATTAGAATATAAACGATGGCTGCGAAAGCATCTGTGCCACAATTGGAACAACGGATTCAGTGCGTCAAATTCACCATTTTCTGCTTAAATGCTATAATATGGGTAAGCAACAAAAAGAGAAATCGAAGCAAATGTTATCAAAACAAAAACTTTCGGCGATTCGGTGGAGATTATAATTTATCTAAATAAGAGTTTTGATTGTGTTTAATTGCGACAGAGAGAGAGAGAGAGAGAGAGAGAGAGAGAGAGAGAGAGAGAGAGAGAGAGGGGGGGAGAGACAGAGAGAGAGAGAGTGTGAAAATACACAAGGTGTAACACTGTGATTCAAATATATTGTTCGTATTGACTTTGCGGTGTTTGAAAATCGTTACCGGCAGTCCGTTAAGATTCTAAATGTAAAGGGGTCCGCCGAGGCAATTTACGTGTAGATTGTGAATTGTGACGCTTCTCGTTGCAACACATATCCTCGTTACATTCGATCCAATGACTCAGATCGACGCGTACCAATCATATCTGTGTTTATCAGCGTGACGAATGGGGAGACTAATTCCTAAAGAATTAGAAAATATTTTGTTGAAACGACCGATAAAGCGGAATTTATTAGATTGTGTAACTCATTTAATCGAAATTTTTCATTATCATATGATTATGTCTTTGAGTTTTCAAATTCTTGACCTGAATTTTTTCAAAGTCATGAATATTTGAATGATCAAACTCTTGAATATTTGAACCATCAAACTCTTGAATATTTGAACGATCAAACTCTCGAATATTTGAATTTTCAAATCTCCTAACACTTCTACGTGTTTAATCAGCTTCTCGGCAGTTCGATGTTCGGCCTGTGCATGTGGCTGCGATTAGACCCGTCGTTCCAAGAATGGGTTGACTTCCTAGACATATACGAATTTTACATCGGCATCTACGTTCTCCTGGCAGTCTCGATAGTAATCATAATAGTAACGTTCATCGGATGCGGCGTTGCTCTTATGGAGTACATTTACGGTCTCTACGCTGTAAGTACGGCGAATCGAACAAGCAGTTATAGATTTCTGTAATATTTAATATTTAATATTAATTTATATAATATTTCGGTCGTTGAATATTTATTCAACGACCGAAACACGTGCATACGTACATGGCTAATTCACGATACATTTAGTTCATAGGTCTGCAATTGTTCTGCTTCGCGATGGGCTTGGCGGGAACAGCGTTGCTACTCGACTACTCGACTTACGACAGCCAAATTCAGCCTCTGATTCGAAAATCGACGATGTCTCTCATCAACAATTATCAGGACGACAGAGCTACTTACATTTTACAATTGATCCAAGAAANGAGAGAGAGAGGGGGGGAGAGACAGAGAGAGAGAGAGTGTGAAAATACACAAGGTGTAACACTGTGATTCAAATATATTGTTCGTATTGACTTTGCGGTGTTTGAAAATCGTTACCGGCAGTCCGTTAAGATTCTAAATGTAAAGGGGTCCGCCGAGGCAATTTACGTGTAGATTGTGAATTGTGACGCTTCTCGTTGCAACACATATCCTCGTTACATTCGATCCAATGACTCAGATCGACGCGTACCAATCATATCTGTGTTTATCAGCGTGACGAATGGGGAGACTAATTCCTAAAGAATTAGAAAATATTTTGTTGAAACGACCGATAAAGCGGAATTTATTAGATTGTGTAACTCATTTAATCGAAATTTTTCATTATCATATGATTATGTCTTTGAGTTTTCAAATTCTTGACCTGAATTTTTTCAAAGTCATGAATATTTGAATGATCAAACTCTTGAATATTTGAACCATCAAACTCTTGAATATTTGAACGATCAAACTCTCGAATATTTGAATTTTCAAATCTCCTAACACTTCTACGTGTTTAATCAGCTTCTCGGCAGTTCGATGTTCGGCCTGTGCATGTGGCTGCGATTAGACCCGTCGTTCCAAGAATGGGTTGACTTCCTAGACATATACGAATTTTACATCGGCATCTACGTTCTCCTGGCAGTCTCGATAGTAATCATAATAGTAACGTTCATCGGATGCGGCGTTGCTCTTATGGAGTACATTTACGGTCTCTACGCTGTAAGTACGGCGAATCGAACAAGCAGTTATAGATTTCTGTAATATTTAATATTTAATATTAATTTATATAATATTTCGGTCGTTGAATATTTATTCAACGACCGAAACACGTGCATACGTACATGGCTAATTCACGATACATTTAGTTCATAGGTCTGCAATTGTTCTGCTTCGCGATGGGCTTGGCGGGAACAGCGTTGCTACTCGACTACTCGACTTACGACAGCCAAATTCAGCCTCTGATTCGAAAATCGACGATGTCTCTCATCAACAATTATCAGGACGACAGAGCTACTTACATTTTACAATTGATCCAAGAAAGCGTAAGTGTTCGTTGACGGAGAAAAAAAAGATTGAAATTACTCGAAAGTTTATCGAAAGGTTTCTTTTTGATAGATCGGATGTTGCGGCGCCGATGGGCCGCGGGACTATCTGAATTTGAAGAAGCCTCTGCCCAGCGAGTGCAGGGACACTGTCACCGGAAACGTATATTTCCATGGCTGCGTCGAAGAGATCTCATGGTTTTTAGAGGGCAGATCGGGATGGCTGGCTGGCCTGTCCTTGGCACTGTGTATGCTTCACGTAAGTTCAATTATAGAAAGAAATTCATTCAGTTCGTGGCCTAATTTTATTTCGTTTGCTAGCTCTGTTTACGTTATGTTCATTAGCTCCGTTTACTTTTTTAGGTGGTCATCGCGGCCTTAAGTCTGACGCTTATCCGGGCGATCAAGAAGGAAGAGCAGTCCGTCGCGTACAAACGCTAATTGTCAGAACCTGTTCAGGGACCAGTTCGCATTTCACTTCGCACACAGAAACATTATTTATTTAGCAGGAAAGCTCTTCCACCCGATACTGACTATTATCTGTCGTGTCGGAGGCATCTTTTATATACGAGAACGTTTTTCTTTTACTACACATTTTTTCATCGCTTTGCAGCGACACGAAATTCGCAGCGATCGAAACACAATTCGATCGTTGCATTTTATAGTTCGTCGCGTTTAACGTTTAGTATTTATAATAAAGAAACAATTCGTATATCATTTTTACATACTTTATTTACAAATTTGTTTTAATATACATACGGTGTCTTACAACGACGAATAAAATGTATTTACAATAATTTCACCAGTACACGTCTAAACATTGTTGCACGCTATTGGACGTTTCTTTTTGTCTTTTCTATACGGGAGTTGTTCAGAATGTTTAATATAAAGAAAAAAGAAATGAATTTAAATGTACAATCTTAATTAATTATAAAACGTACGGTCATGTAAATCGTTCGTTCTACAATAATAAAGCAAAAACAATGATGAATGATTATTTACAAGATTCATATTCAATTTCGATAACGATAATACGTTGCGTTTATTCTGCGATTCTCTGGTTAGAACTGATATACGTATTGTATTATATAGGCGAGAAAGCAACGAAAGCGAACCCCGCGGGAGATTCAAATGTCCCGCCTCGTCATCGTCTCGTGAATTTTAATTCAAAGTGAGAGGAAACTTAATTAAGTTAATCGTAACTTTCATATGTTCTTCATGCATCGCCGTGTGACACGGTACATTTCAACTGTTTCGTTCTCCTTTTTGCCGGAAACGAAATATATGTATATGTGTGTATTGTTTTTTTTTTCGAACGAAGCCCTCACGAGAATTAAATTCATCCAGCACCTACGATAGATATTTAATGGTTTCGTTTAACGGTAATCAGTCTTTGCGCGCCTATGATACTATTCGAGATTGCTTATCGTTGTACATACTTCTTTTCACACTGTATACCATATGATCGACGTATCATTTTTCTTCCACGGTTATTATTAATGCGTTCGCGTAAGCGTCGGCCATGTCACACCGTGACACATGAACAACATAATCTCAACTTACCCGCTAATCGTATTTCATGGGAAACGGGGACAGTCATTTCTCCCGGAAATGCCGAATTTCGGGTTCCTGTGAATTTCCCTGTGCTAGTCCTACGCCTGTGTAAATTCATTGCTACGTCGATGTAAAGGGTCGAATTCTCGGAAGACGATACAAAATGGTCTGTTTTGAGCGTGAGTCAGATAAGAAAAATCGCGGAGCTACAAGGTACAGTAATTTCTCCCTAATTCGCGCTCAGATCGCGCGCAAAAATTTGAGAAACTTTACTGTACTAGCCACGTGACCGTAGAATCGTGTCACGTGGCCTCCGAATTGCCTCCGAGTCGCGGCAAAAAATTAGAAACAAAAAAGTCAGCTAACAGGGATTCGAATTGAAATCGAAAATTCGTCAGAATTCATTTTCCGCGGCGTCGACCTTGGTCGCTTCGAACCGCGACAAAGAAGCAAGAAAACGTCGTAGATCGAAAACTTCGACGTCGTTCGAAAGAGAAGACCCTAATCTTGAAGATCATGGTAAATCGGAATCGCGGGAAAAATGTTTCAGACCCTGGAGAGACGTTCGAACGCAGAGTTCCCGAGCAGGAGAAACCGAGGCTGGAAAATTCACTTTCGCTAATGAAAAAATATTTTCCATTGGAAATGATTCAGAGAGATTATAGTAGAGGCTTTTCCAAATCGATCTAGCCGGTATAGATTATCCTACAATGATTTTTCACCGACTGCCCCGAGTTTCTATAAAACCGCGACTCGGTATTCCCGGATCTGCCGGTTTCGATTCCGAGCTCCGTACATTTCCGAAAGCAACGACCTCGCCCGCGCATAATCATCTATGTTAAATACTAACAGAATCATGATAACCGCTACTCTCTTTAAATACCTTAAATAACGTAACCCTAAAACGTCGAATCTCCGGGGGTAGCAAAATAACCTCGTTAGAACCGAACCAAAGGCTCTTCAGAATTCCGATCGGATGACCGCCACTTTGTCCGTCACCGCCGTCAATTTTGGTATAACATCGACCGTACCACGAAGAGTATAATACATCGTACAGAACCTAGCCCCTTACCCTACGAATGGAAAAGGCGGATAGGCGACTGGCGGCGGATGATAGTACCCGGGGAAAGCGGGTACGGTGGGCTGCACTGGCAGGGTGGTGGTGACGTAAGTGGTGACCTCGGTGGGCACCACGCGACTGGAGAACAGGGTGGTGTACGCGGTCTTGGCCCCGAAGGTCAGCTTCAGCACCTTCGACTCGGAAACGGTGGCCAGGGTCTGGGTGACCAGGGGTGCGCTGGTGATGGTGAACTGCGGCTGCTGCGGGAACAGCGGCAGCTGCGGCGGCAGCTGCGGTGGCAGCTGCGGCGGCAATTGCGGCGGCAGAACAGGCGCCACGGTGGACGTTCCGTATTCATAGGACGTCCTTGGCACGGTGCCGACTGGCCTTGACAGCGTCGAGTACAGCGTGTTCCCGTTGTTCACCACCGGGATCACGTGGGACTCGTAGACGGTCTCCAGAACGACCACCGGCCGCGACGTGGTGATCACCTGCTGCTGCGGCTGCTGTTGTTGCCCGAAGTACTTCAGCAGGGCCAGCTGGTCGGGGGTCAGCTGCGGCTCTACGGAGCTGCTGGTGGCCTCCGGCCTCACCTTGGAGGAGGACAGCGACTTGAACGGCTCCAGATCCGAGTCCGCGACGCCGTTGGGCGCCAGCACCCTCTTCGGAATGTCGTCGTCGTCCCTGTCGCCGTCGCCGACGTCCAGCTCCAAGTGCAGCTCGCTGCCAGCCCCTTCGAGCCTCGAGTTGAACTCGTTGAGAGCCTTGCTAGGGATGAACTGATAGATGTCCATCGGCGGCAGCGTCTTCGTGGCGGTGACCACCCGGGCGATGTTGTAAGTTTGCACCAGAGTTAGCTTGGTCGTGCTGTTGCCGTATATCACCGGCAGCAGGTGGGTCTTCAGGAGGGTCTGCGTGGTGGAGAACGTCTCCGTAAGGGTCTCCAAGGGCGGGGTAGCTTGGCCAGACTCCAGAGACACGGCCGGGAGGGTCGCCACTGCCGAGTCGAGGGGCAAAGTCGTTTCGTAAGCCGCCGCCGTGTTGGCCAGCAGGTTTTCGGTGAGGGGCTCCGTGGCCGCGATCGTCGGGGTGGGCTCTGGAGTCGAGAACGACTTCTTCTGGGTCGACGTGACCGTTATGTAGCGCGTATTCCTCACGGTTCCCGCCTGCGAAACCGGACAAACGTTACGATACGACTCTTTCCGAAGCCGCGAAACTCTGGAACAACTTACCTGGAACGTGTACGGCGACTTGATGGTGGCGATCTCGAAGTACGCGTTGTTGATGTCAGCGGCCGTGGAGATCTCGACGTTGATCGTCTCGACCGGAAGCACCTGTTCCGCGTGCTGCTCCTGGATGCTGATGCTGGCCACGTCCTCGCTCTCGCTCGGGTCCAGCTCCTCGTCGCTCGCCATCTCCTGGATCTTCCTTTGAGCGACTACCTGCTGGCCCGTCGTCGACGAGGCCGTCGTGGTCGTCGAGATCAACACGGAGGCCGCGGTGGTCTTGTCGTCCAGGCTCAAAGGACCCTCCGTGGTGCTCGTCTCAGCCGTCGAGCGCGCTTCGTCGTCGTCGATCTGCTTCCGGATGATCACTCGAGGCTTCGGCGTCGTCTTGTAGGACCAGCGGCCCTGTGTCCTAGGGAGCTTCAATTTCGGCGGGGAGTTCGGGCTGATCGGCTGCTGCTCCACCTTCGATTTAGGGGCCTGCTTCGACGGCAGGCTCGGCTGGTTGCTCGGCCGGAAGCCGGTACGCCTACGCGGCACCGGCGACTCGGTCGTCGTCGTGGGCGGAACCCGGTTCCTGTTGGCAAGTGCCACGTTGCGATTCTGTCCGACGATCGCGCGACGGTTTGTTTATTGTATTATGCTTACTTGTAGCCGGGTCTCGGCGTTGTGCTGCTCCTGTTCTTCGGCGGTTTCGTTTGCTGAACCTCGCCGCTGTCGTAGTCCTCGTTGATCTTGTTGCGGAACTTCGGCCGCGCCGTGTTCGGGGCCGCGTTTTTACGTGTACCTCGGACCGTGGAGCCTGCGGAGTCGAATAAAGTTAGTCGTATAAGGGTCGCGGGGGCGGTTTACACGGGATCGTGTGCTTTTGGAACGTCCTGGGAGACGCGGTTTGCAACTCTTCGGGAGGAAATTGGTAGTTCGAGTACGGAAACTTTTGTCGTAGCCACACTGGCATACTAAACTCGTGCCAGAAACGAGTTACAGTAAATTCTCCATAATTGAGGCTCGGCTTGGAGACAGAGATGGAGGATTTGGGAAGCTTTTAGAGTTGTTATTTATTATGTATTATTTTATTATTGTATTATTTATTATTGTTATTCGAGATTTTTATGGTTAAATAGTTTCTATATATAATATTTTATGATATTTATTTTTGTGTATAATAGTTTCTATTGTTATCGATTTTCAATTATTATAAAAACGAGGTGCGAGGCTCTCCCTAATTGACGCTCGGCTTGGAAACGGAAATGGACGATTTGGGAAGCTTTTATAGTTATTATTTATTATGTATTATTTTATTATTATATCATTTTCATATTTTCTTATTTATTATTATTAGTATTCGAGCTTTCTTTAGTTAAATATAGGCAGAGGAAGGCTGGAAGAATAAGGATTATAATATACTTACAGCTTGTTTAACTAATTCTTCGTTGAATATACGTTAATCAATTATACGTTAATCAATTAGTATGTTTAATATATGTAGTTATAGTCGCAAGGCTCGAATAATCGTATCTCCTCTTCTCGAATTCATTTTCAAAGTCCACTTTCGTTCACAAGCTGAAGGAAAATTACGGAGAATTTACTGTCCTCTTAATTCCGCGACTCTCGGCCACTGCTTCTCCGCGCCGAATTTCAAGCAGCATCGTCCAGGTAATACAAAGCCGTTATAAATAACATATAAAAGCCGCAATTTACCAGCAGGAGCGCTGAACAAAACCTCCAACGGCAGCGACGACTCCTCCTGTTGGTTCGTCGGCGTTGGCTCCAACTGCGGCTTCAGCTTCCCCTGCTGGGGCCCGATGGTCTTCAAGATCCTCTGGGTGCTGGACGGCCGTATTTTACCTTCGGGGATCGGCGGCGTGCCCTGCAGAATCCTCGAGGAGCTCTGGAGCACCTGGGCATACTTCCCGTTTATGTAGGTGCCGATCACGCTGGTCTCGTGGACGGTAGTTAGGCCATCCTTGACGATCGTGCCGCCGAGCTTGGTGACCAGCCCCGTGGGATTCTCCTTCTCCCGTCTGCCTGTGGGCCTGGGTTTTGCGTGGGCCTTCGAAGAGGGCCTCAAATTAATCAACTGTAAAATCGAAAAACTATTTTTCTAGAAGATCTAGCGAACGATGCCGCATCCGTCGCGGAATTCTCGCGCGGCCCGGCTTCGAGATCGAGTCGGTCGAGGACCAACGATGGACGCCAATAATGGCGTACAGAAATTATGGTCGAAACCCTGGAAATCTTTAAATTGTTTCGAGACGTTCGATAGGCTATTTTTATTGGACAATGTCGCAAATTTGGGAAAAATTGCGATCTCTTGGATCGAGAACAAGATGTCTGCGTGTTCTCTATTTTGATCGACGGCCATGGGAACCTTTACGTACAGTGGCCCACAAAAGTGTTCGTACATCTTCTAAAACGCGATAACTTTTTTAAAAGCGAAGTAAGTGACTTGAATTATTTTTTTGTTTAGATGATAGCGGAACTAGTTTACCAGACGGTGATCAGAATGCTTCCTTCAAATTGTATTATTATACTTGAAAAGAGAGAAAAAAGAATAAAAAAACTCCTATTTTTTAACTTCAAAATTTTATCGAAATCAGTTGACGTTGTTACGAGTTACGACAAATTGAAGATGCCAAGAATCGCAGTGAAAGTTGCACAAGTTACCGAGTGGCATTTTAAAAATTGTTATTATAGGCTCAGATAAAAAAGATTAAAAAAACGAGAGTTCCATTTCTCGCCATCCCAAGTAATAACAAAATTAAAAAACTGCATTTCAGTCATCGTCTAGTAAACCAGTCCCCCTGTCATCTAAATAAAAATTCAAATCAATTACTCGAGTTTCAAAAAAGTTATTTAACAGGTGTACGAACACTTTTGTGTGCCACTGTACATACAATGAAATCAATCGATCCGTCAATGTCTTGCACGACGACCATGATCTCGTGCTTCCGCGCCACTGTGACGCGGGACCAACGACGCGGAACGCGAACTGACACGGCTATAAATTGCTAATAGAATTTTAAGATATTTAAAAAAAATCACGGGAGCATGAGAAAGCACCTGATTCGTTGCTCGCGAGCCGTTCGATGTTTTGCGAAGTGTCACGTGGCCGTTGGCGCGCGATTGCCGCGCGACACAAATTGATAAACGGGGTCGGCGGAGCGTCGAATTTTTATTTTCGCGAGGAAATAATTGTCGGCGCCGGGAACTAGATTTTCAGGTTTGTCCGCCCCGGCCAGATTGATCTCGTTGCCCGGAACAATCTGTGCCAATGCTAATTGCATGCATACGGGACGCGGCCGCTTTTATTGCTCCTCGTTTCCATAAATCGGCCTCCATCTAGCCGACACTTCTCATTTACCTTGTAGGTCTCGTCGACCACTTCCGCCGGTTGTTTCGACAGGAAGTCGTACTCGGGCTCGGCCAGGTTATTTTTCACAGCCGGTGCATCGTCCTTCGGCTTCGCGTGCACTTGCGAGGACGCCGCCGCCGCCGCGCTGGCGGTCGTTGACTGACTCTTTGTGGCCGGTTCCTGTGAAATATGCAAGCCGGGCGCGCTCCAATGAATCACGCGAACGGCTCTGGTTCTCGTTCGTTTCCGTCGGTTTTTCGTTTTCCGTCGAAAAACGAACGGATCGTACAGGGATCGATACCGATCGGCGGGGCCCGGCCGTTCGAAATGCAGCCGTCCGCGTCGAAGTTTACGTGACCGTTTGAAAGTAGAAATCTCGCGGGCGCGCATAGGTGCGTACGCGCGCGCGCGCGTGCTATATGGATTGGTAAATAGAACCGGAAAAGTCTGCACCGCGAAAGGGAAAGTATCGGCGCTTCCTGCTCGAACAGATTTTTGCGTGGAAAATCCAGGAAACCCGCGCGCCGCCGCAGACGTGAAACGAGGCAAAGTCTCTCTAATTGACGCTCTTGGCATTTTCTCGACGAAAATGGATAATTTGGGAGGAGGGGATGCAATTAGTCGAGCCTTGCGACTATAGCTACGTATGTTAAAGGAATTAATTAATTGACATACGATTGATTGATATATGTTAAACGAAGAATTAATTATACAAGCTGTAATTATATTATAATGAGGAACTTGCGAGCCTTACGACTATAACTAGATGTGTTAAACATATTGATTAATTAACATGTAATTAAATAACATGTATTGAACAGGTAATTAATGAAACAAACTGTAACTATATTGTAACCGGTAACTTGCGAACCGCGAGGCTCGAATAGTCATACCGTCTTTTCACAAGTTGTCCATTTTCGTTTCCAAGCCGAGGGACAATGCGAGAGTAATTACCGCGTCGACTAATTTTTACGGACCGAAAAAAAATTAGGTCGAGTTATAAATAAAAATTCCGATGCGGCGAAGTAGAACATTTGCTTTCGCTGAGTAGGCAAGGGTTCGAAATAAAATATAAAGTAAGTAGAAAATAATAAAATAAATAACGAAATAAACTAAATAAAGAATAATAAAATAAATAACAAAATAAACTAAATAAAGAATAATGAAATAAATAACGAAATAATAAAATAAAGAGACGAAAAAATAAATAGCAAAATAAACTAAATAAAGAACAATAAAATAAATAACAAAATAAACTAAATAAAGAATAATGAAATAAATAACGAAATAATAAAATAAAGAGACGAAAAAATAAATAGCAAAATAAACTAAATAAAGAACAATAAAATAAATAACAAAATAAACTAAATAAAGAATAATGAAATAAATAACGAAATAATAAAATAAAGAAACGAGAAAATAAATAGCAAAAGAAGCAAAATAAATGTCTGATAATAAAAATTAGTAGCAATTGAAGCGATTCGTAGCTCGAAATCGTGGACCGTTGGTCGAACACCGTCGACTCACCTGGCTTTTCGGGGACCTCAATCTATTCTCATCCGCCGAATTGATCACGTTCTGCTCGATCACGGAATTCACGACGATCTTCGTGCCTTTCGTCTGCTTCTTCGTTTCCTGCTCGGCGTTGCTTTTGTGCGTTTTGCTCGGCTGGATACTGAGAACCGCTTTTTCCGACGTTTCGCTCGGTTTCGTCTGAATAATCGAGACGCTGCTCTTCTTTCCCTTTTCGACGTCTAAAACGAAACGAGTGATTAATCGCGGCGAGATCGTATCTCGCGGGATCCTCTCCCCAAGATTTTCACGTGGCCATTTTCGTTATGAATTTACACGGCGAAGATCTGCCATGATTCACGCTCCTCGCGATCGCCCGAGATTCTGCCGGATAAGCGGCCGGAATCTTCGTTTTTTGGTCTTTTTTTTTGCCGAAAGTCTGCGTTCCATCGATCGTCGAACGACGAACGACCTTTACAAGAATTCCGTGCTTTTTACAACAATTTTTTCGAACAAATTTCCGATGACATTTCACGCAGACTCGTTACTCTTTTTACGGTTTCCAGTTTAACCGTTATTCGTTTCATCTAATTGCCGAAAATTGTCCGATTTCGATGCGTCGGGTCACAAGTGACCCGGTCACCGCGGGCAGAGGTTCAACGCTGGAACTGAAAAATCGGTCGAAACGACCGGTTTTTGATTTTTGATACTACAAGGTTTCCACGCGAACTTCTTCTTCTTCTTCATCGTTGAAGCACGCATTGTAATCGAAATTACAGGAAGTTTAGGTAGATGTAATCTCGCGTCGTTGTTGCGAAACAATGCGCCCGTGTTAGTCACGTTTAGGGCTCGGTGGTTTCTAGCGTTGATCAGGTGTTAATCGTACCTGCCGGAGGCGCGCTCTGCGGACTGAACACCATCACGGTGTTGCCGATGGTGGTGGTGAAATCCAAGAAGCCGTATACCGTCTGTGTAATAAAATCATTGTTTACAGCCGCCGCCGCCGCTGCCGCCGGCTTGATGACTGCTGCTGTCTCGGCCGAGTGGCTCTTGTAAACTTGGGCCGCGCATTCGGTAACTAAAAGTGAAAACGCATGTTCGCTTACGTATCGTAAACAATCGATTGTTCGGAGAATCGTAATTCAGGAACGGAACGGCTTTATGCAACGCATTACGTTATGATTACGCTAAGGTTACGTTGTCCTCGCTTATATCGGGAGAATTATACGTTCGATTTGTGGATTTATATATTTTTGTATGAACGTAATTTTTATATATTTATATATTTTGTTTGTACGAGAGAGAGAGAGAGAGAGAGAGAGAGAGAGATATTTAAATATTTAATTTCATTTATAGATTATATTGTTATTGTAATTTTAAGCTACGTATTTCTCGACGAAATTCATCTGTATTGTGTAATAATACGGTAAATGTAGTAATGTGTATGTAATAATTTTCAATTAAATGTGAACATTAATTATCAGTCGTAGCTTCTGCGGCAAGGTTAACCCTTTGCACTCGAAGCCGTTCTAACTCTAAATTCAAAATAGTTTCTCCAATTTATAGCATTTCCATTTTTTATGATTTATTGTATTTTATACAGATGAAATTGAGTATTGTCACTCGTACAATAGTTTGAATAATTTTAACAATTTTAACAGTTTTAATAGTTTCAACAGTTTTAACAGTTCCAATAGTTTTTCAAATGTCATCAAATTTATTTTGGAATAATAATAATATATATATATATATATTTAATAAATTAAATACATAACTAAATAAAATAAACTTTATTAATTAAATATATAATATGACTATAATATATAATATATATAATATAATTATAATTAAATATATAATGTATAAGACATATAAAATATATTTAATGAATTAAATATACATAATAATTGTATCCTCAAAAAATGTCCAAAATATTATTTTGGAACTTGATGTAATAATTTTCAGTGGTGACTCTGGGTCAGCACTCGACTGCAAAGGGTATCACACTAGCATCAGCTTTGTCGTGAAGCAACAACGGCAGGCAACAGGACTGAAATTTCAATCGTAGCGAATTTCACAGAAGAAGGGAGTGTCAAGAATGTTTTTTCGATGCTGTAACGAGCTGTGCACGGCATTGCTTACAAATTAAAGTTGTTCGCATTGTGGGAAGACTATGATCACACGTGTGTGTCCGCTTATGCATGCGTATATGTCGTGTATATGTGTGTGCGCGCGCGCGCGTGTCTGTCTAGAAGCGCGGCAAGTGTGGGAAAGTGTAGCCATTTGGTAATAAAGAAACGCCTGGGGCCACCGTATCGAAGCCTACCGATGAAAACGGCATAGAATCATCGTTTGTAATTACACGGATCTATCGTGCGCGATGAGAAAACCAACTATTACACCCACCGCGTCAACCGCGACGCTTGGCTATACCATTTTAGCTTCGACACACAATGGTTTCCGCAGAAAATTGTTCGCATCGTTCGGAAAATATTAATCTGTCCAACGAAGCTTACCGTAGATCAAGGATACGACGATGAAGAAATCTTTCAGCAGCATGTTGCTCGATCTGAGCGTTCAATCTGGAACAGAACGGTGTGACAACGATTTTATTTAATTTTGTAACAACGATGTAATCGAAAATGTCGCGGCTTATTTTCAAATCGGTGACGTTGCTTCGGGTATTCTTGTAAATGTTGGAATGTTATAGAAATCATTTTTTAAATGAACGTATGTAAGCGGTTTTCATTTAAATGTGAACGTGAATTATTTTCAATTGAATGTGAACATAATTAATTTTCAATTGAATGGTACACAAATATTTTCAGACAAATGTGAACATGAATATGTTCCAATTTGAATGTGTACATGAATAATTTTCAAGTGAACGTGTACACAAATAATTTTCAATTCAACGAGAACACAATTAATTTTCGATTGAACGTGCACACGAATATTTTCCAATTGAATGTGTACACAAATAATTTTCAATTAAATGTGAACGTGAATAATTTTCAATTGAATGTGAACGTGAATCATTTTTAATTGAATGTGAACATGAATCATTTTCAATTGAATGTGTCCACAAATAATTTTCAATTAAACGTGAACATGGATGATTTTCAATTAAATGTGAACATGGATCATTTTCAATTGAATGTGTCCACAAATAATTTTCAATTAAATATGAACATGGTTAATTTTCAATTAAACGTGAACATGGATAAATTTCAATTAAATGTGAATATGGATCATTTTCAATTGAATGTGTCCACAAATAATTTTCAATTAAATATGAACATGGTTAATTTTCAATTAAACGTGAACATGGATAAATTTCAATTAAATGTGAATATGGATCATTTTCAATTGAATGTGTCCACAAATAATTTTCAATTAAATATGAACATGGTTAATTTTCAATTAAACGTGAACATGGATAAATTTCAATTAAATGTGAACAAGAATAATTTTCAATTAAATGTGAACATGGATAATTTTCAATTGAATGTGTCGACAAATAATTTTCAATTAAATATGAACATGGATAAATTTCAATTAAATGTGAACATGGATAATTTTCACTTGAACGTGTACACAAACAATTTTCAATTCGGCGTACAAATCAATAAAAATCAAGCAGCCTGAGCAAAAATTAAGCTGGACATTTAAATATTAATTAAACATATCGGCAGAAAGTGATCGTTGCTTTTGAAAAACGTTATGGGGGTGTCAGCTTCGCAGCCCAGCGAACATCGATCTGAAAATTACGAACTCCTGTCACGGCTGGTAGCCATCCAGCGTGGAACGGTATCGCCTTTTACTATTGTTTCACGCTAACCGATTACCAACGGCTTTTCTTATGCAATAATTCCGTCGGCTTCTTAACGGTGCGCGCGCGCGCGCGCGCGGGCGCGGGCGCGAGCGCTGGATGAGATCGTGCATCACGCAGCCGCCATTCATGCATCATGCGAGTGAATCGCATGGTTTTGCCACCGGCCATGTCCCGTATTGTTCTCAAAAACAATGCAAACGCAATGCTCTCGCCGCGAGCGTCAGCGATTGTGTATGATCCTCAAAAAAAAAAAAGAAAAAGAAGAGTAAAAAGGAACCTCGTCGAAATTTCGTTGTCGCAACGCGTCCTTGAAATTTCGAAATCGCGAATTCCCCGTGCGTCGACGCCATTGCTATGTTTGCGTTACGCAAAGCTGTTTGCTCACTGTGCTCGAAGAACCGCAAGCCTAATTGTTGCGGGTTCGGCGGCGGGGGGAGAGGGATAAATAGAATCTGTTCGCCGTTTAACCGCGGCTTCGTTATTTTTTATTCGATATGTTATCCGCGCTCGATCCGAACCGCGATTTATTCCCCATTTCGATCGTACATTTGCAGCTTTACGGATCTGTTTTCGACGCGGCGGCGTTTAACGTTTCATTAAATTTGCTGCCGCACGGACGAATAAAATGCGACTGCAGGCAGAGGTACCCCGCGAGCACGTAAACCGTTCCTTTCACCACTATTCTCCCAAGATATTGCACCGAGTTGTTCGCATAATCAGCACGCCTGCAGTTAAAAGTGCGAGCAATTCCCGATTCCGCGCGCGCGCGCGCCCCCATCTTGGTACCCGCTAATAACGCTCTAGCATCGTTTCGCTATCGTGCAAATTAAGCAACGAGATATGCAACGAAAAATATCCGTTCCGTCTCGCGGAATCGTATCTTTTTTGCGACGATAGAAGAGTAGCTCGAGAGCCGAATGTGTCATGCACCAAGGACTACCGCGAGCAAAGTGAACCATTCCGCAACGTCTGCAACAAGGAGTGGCCGCACAATTACATCCTCGCGCCGCCATAACATCGCACACTCAAGTAGAACACGTTCGTAGAAACGTTAACTTAATGTTGCACGCACGGTGGCGGAATATCGACGCGTCCCTCGCCGTTCGTCGAACGAAATCGCACCGGAGCGTCCGCCATTCTCGATTGTCAAAATATTCTTTCGCCGTTCGTTTCGTGGCTATTCATTTCTAATTTCGTTTTTACGTTGAGACGCCGTCGAACGTTTAAACTAGAAACAGCTGGAATATTATTTATTTGCAATTTGTTGAAATACTTCAGAGACGAGACGGATTTTTATTCAGGCCTTGTTGCTTTTAACAAGCGCAGGAAAATTTTGGCGTAAATATTTTGCAGAAAGATTCGCGGTCTAGTTATAAGAATATATGTCAATTATAATATAAGTCTAATATAGGTCTAATTATATATTAATATAAGTCTAATATAGGTCTAATTATATATTAATATAAGTCTAATATAGGTCTAATTATATATTAATATAAGTCTAATATAAGTCTAATATAATTATATATTAATATAAGTCTTAATATAAGTCTATAGGTCTAATTATATATAAGAATATATAGCAAATTCTCGCCAATTTTTATTCAGCTTGTAAACCAAAGTGAATAATATAGAAAGAGTTTTTAATTCGGTTTCGATTCCGATCTCCGTACATTTCTGGAAGAATTTACGCCACTGAAGGACCAATTATCGCGACTCCCCAGCTCTCTACAAAATTAATACGACGTTAAATTTGTATAAAAATAATATTTTCAATTTATCGCCAGTCGACTATGGTTGACGAACGTAAACGATCGCGGACAAACGACCGTGACGTGGCTGGATAAAATCGTCGGCGCCATAAAATATGCGAACCCCATTGACTTCGAACGATGCCAATTAATTCGGGAGACGTTGAATGAAAGCAACCGTGTTTCGCATAATTTTGTGAAACGTCGACGATCATTCATTCGGCCGAACTTCGTTAATCGGATTTGCGAGCTCCGAGTTCTCGCCTCGCCGAAGATTCGAAGGATTCTATCGGATGAATATCATTATGCGGGCCTTGTTTTTCGCTCGCACTTGAAATTTCAAGCGCCGTAACGGTCCCGGGACCGTTATCGAGACACCATCTGCGTGACATCGGCGTTTCGAAAACACATTATACACGCTGAAACTGTTTTCGCGGAATCTGCGATTATTTTCATATTATCTTTATTTTATTAATATTATTTTATTTTTATTTTTAGTTTCGCTTTGTCGGCTTTTCGAGAATCGAAATTCGTGATAGGTACAGTAAATTTCCCCTAATTTTCCTTCAGAGGACAAGGGGTCGAGAATGGACAATTTGGGAAGAGAAGATTTTATTTATTATTCGAGCCTTGAACCTCATTTTTCTAATTATAATTTTAATTCTAATGTTCGGCGAGCCATTTTTGTTTATCAGCTGAAGGAAAATTGCGCAATTAACCGTAATTCGTTGGCGAAAGGGGTTTAAGAAACGGGGCGCGCTTGAATCCGTCGGAGAAAACCGCAGTTTTCCTATTGAAATCTTCCCGAAAAAGGACGGCTTTGCTTTCGTGCGGCGAGAAAGCTCGTAAAATCCAGCGGTCTTAGAAGAATTTCGACGAATCAGGCTAGAGATCGGTCTTATGTCCTGCATTTCCTCGTTTGGCGCAAGACCGGCGCGCGTTTCATACGGAAAAAAGTGAACGGTTGTCCCAAGGCGTTCACATACTTCCCCGGAGCAACGCCGGGCCTGGATTTCTGTCGGTCGCGCCGCGATTCTAACCCTGCAGAGAGATCAAGCTCGCCTCGAGATGTTTTGTACAAATTCTCGAGAGTCCGTTCCACGTTTCGCAGTCGCGGAAAGTTCGCGGATTTGTTTTGGTCGAATGTATTTTTAGATTCGCCGTCGATTCGTGGTCGTTCCTTTCGTCGTTCCGCCATATTGCGGGATGCCGGCGACATTGAAAAGCGGTGGCGACGACCTGTCGACGATCGCTGAAGGAATCTCGTGTCCCTCGATTATGCGAAATCGCCCGATTAACGAATTACCATACGAATTTCATCGGGACAAAGCGGCGAACTCACTCGCTTCCGTGAAATTCCCTGGGCGCTATTTCGCGCGTTCCGGCATTCAAAATGGCGGCCGAGTCGCTTGGACCAACTTCGTTGTAACTTGTTCGGATCCCATTTCGAATCGTTTTGTTGTTAACAATTTATGGGATGCTAGAAAGAAATGAAATTGCACTTTTGGCACTTACAATTTTACGATTGGACCGTTTATTTTGAAAGTGGTGTAAGTCCGTTAATTTTTAGTTGTAAATAAAAAGGATACACTGAATTAATCACAAATGATGTTAAAAAAATGGACTTAGACCATTTCCAAAGTAAACGATCCAATTGATAGCAACAAAAGCAACGAAAGCAACAAAATTAATATCAAAATTATTTATATAATATATTATAATATATATATATATAATATATAAATAATATATAATATAATATATATATTATTAATATAAAATTATTTATTAATTAATTAATATCAAATTAAGATCGGACTGTGTTCGCATCGAATAATATTTTCAACAATTTTTCTAATTAATTATGTGTGCACAACTTAAGCACAAAGCAAGCAAACATGATAATCATTAGACTGCGATCTTTATGCAAAATAAAAATTCTGCACATCAATTGGACCGTTTATTTCGAAAGTTGTGCAAGTCCATTAATTTTTAA